GGTGGACAATCCTTATAAGTGCTCATGCACCTCTTTTTTAAGCTAGGAAATTGAATCCGAGTCAATGATCACTATGCCTTACCCTGCTTTGGTCAATCAACTAATCTTGTCTAGTCGAGCAAGTAATCGAGAACTCAGTAAGAGCCTTTTGATTCCGTGGAAACTACTATCCCATCGCAAGCGGATCCTTTAATTGAATGTGCTAGGTGGCATAAAGAGTCTCTTTCTCAATGCTGTTCCGTCCGTTGACCTTATCAAAATAAAGTGTCCGACTTTATTTCCTGGTTGTGGACAATTATTTTTTTATCACTTTATAATTGAATCTTTCTCTACTTAACGATTTTAGTATTCAATTTATAATAATATCCTTGATCCCTGTACATTTTACTATTTGCTCAAATATTAAATGCATTTATGCCCCTATTTGAACCACATTAAAATTTTCATTCTCATTCTTCTACTCATTTTCGACCACACATTTTTCAATAAAATAATATTTTTTATCACATCAATAACTTTTCATTCTTTTTCAACAACACATTCTTTATCAATCTATTATTCCAAAATACATTCTTCCGAAATAATGTGGCTTAAACACACCTTATATAAATAATCTAATAACAAAAATTAATATTTCTTTGTTCAAAACATGATGTTGAATAATTTGGGCATATATCCAAACAATTTGTAGATCAGCATCGAGATCCTCGGATCTCCAAAGCATGAAATTTGCCTTTTAAGCCAAATTAACACCATTGGAACCAAATATTTGAATAAGAACCGACCTCTTACAGCATGCAAACGGATTTTGGAAAATATAAAGAAAGAGCATAATATTTCCGTTCTTTCTTGGATTTTGCCTGGCATTACTGCATTAAACTCCTGTTTGGTGAGGATTAAAATCTGAATGTTAGTAGATTTTGATAAAAGTTGATGAAATGCGTGGTTGAAAAGTTGTGGGATCAATAAAATATAAGATTAAAATTCATTGTTGACTTTGACTTAGATTAAAATCTGGATTTTAATCGGTACCAAACAGGGGCTAAATAAACTTTTTCTTATTCTGGTAATAAAGATGAAATTGTTTTATAGAATAGCTTCCTTGTTTCTTCATAAAGATGGAAACCTTGCACTTCAGCTGCCTATTAGGCATGCAAACACA